ACTAGTGTAGAGGTGATACGCGCTGGGATTAAGGATCGTATGCACAGTGCGTGATGATTGGCTGTGTAGGTGGTGACGCGCGCTGACGGTGGAGGATCAGGGGTCAGCGCGGGGTCGTGGGTTACGGGGTACCGATTGGCTGTGGGCGGTGACGCGCTGAGAGGGAGTGATCAGGTGGCAGCGCAGTGTGATTGGTGGAGTAATGTTAACACGCGCTGGGGAAAGCGGATCGTAGAGAGAGTGCGTCGTGATTGGGTCATTAAGGAACGACGCTCACGTCGACGCCGCATCAGCTCCGTCCCTCGTGAGCAGGGGCTATAAAAGGGGATGCACACAGGCGTAAGGGCAGTGTGTAACCAGCGAAGAAGGAAGACGGGGATGAAGACCTAGAGCCCTGCGGTACCTAGCCCCGCTGTCCTAAGGGGACCGGGACTCTGTGTAACCCAGAGGCGAGTGTAGTGGGTGTAGCCATAGGTCTACACGAGCCGAATGTACTATGTGTAGCCAGGGCATAGGGCTTACACGAGTCGAGTGTATTGTGTAGCCAGAGGCATAGGGCTTACACGAGTCGAGTATATTGTGTGTAGCCAGAGGCATAGGGTCTACACGAGTCAAGTGTATCGGGTGTAGCCAGAGGCCTAGAGCTTACACGAGATTAGTGGAGTGTGTCGGAGGAAGAAGAGAGACCACACGTTGTATTGTGATACCTAAAGGATTTAATAAAAGTGTGTTACCCGTCAAGAAGTTCCTGCCGTCAATTCCCATACTTCACTAGGATAGGATAAAAGCAACTTACACGAGCTTAGTGAATGTATGACTTGTGAAAGTCCTCTAGGGCATTAATTAGCTCCTGTCCATCCCTGAAGGACGGGCTAAAAAAAACCCCCTAGCATCCGTCCCGGCCCCACTGTGTTTGTACCTCACACTAGGGCTCCTCTGCCGGAATGGGGACCATCTGTCCTCAAATTTCCGTTCCTTGTCTCTAAGCCTGTGGCTTAAGTGTTCTGTACCCACAAGGGCAAGAAAGGACCCGTGCCACTCTGTCCATGAAAAGGGGTTCATGGTCATTTCATTGTGCCAAAATGGCCTTCTGAGCCGTAATGCTAAAGGTTTGCAGTCGAGCGCGCTGGTCAGTTTGACGCAGCGTAATTGGTCATCGTAGGTGCCATGTCGGTGCGTGCGTACAAATTCACACGGATGGGCTGTGCTGAGGGATAAGTAGGTTGAACAGTTCTTTTGGTGTACATGTGTTGTTGTTGGTTCCCCTCGTTCCATACGTTTTACCCTTCCCCCCTCTCGGTGTGTGTACATATGTTCTCGCGGTAATTATTATCGGTCGCCGGTTATTTATTGATGTTGCTGTTGGAGGCACACTGTTTTTTTCTGTATTGTCACAGCCGGGACGGCTGGTTTTTTTTCGCGGGGGAGGGTGATGTAGTGATTGTAGCATCACTACTGTGTATACATGCACACGTGTGACGTCACTATGCCGGGAGCGTCACTACCACGCGGGTCTACACACACACACATGACGTCATCCTGGCTGGAGGCGGGAATGCCGTCAGGGCTGGTTCGGGACTCGGGAGGCCACGGTGGTGCTGTGAGGCCATGGCACTCTCTGTGATCCCGGCTGGACACGTGACCGGATCCCAGTGGGGGCCGGGGGGCCCACGGGGCACCTCGGGGGGCACGTGGACAGTAGGGGGGGGGGGGCTTCGAGAGGGTTCTCGAAGGGAGGCGTGGCCGGGGTGGGGCCCGGGCACGCCGAGCCCCATATAAGCAGCCTCCTCACAAGGTTCGAGGCTGCCCGTGCCAAGGATGAAGATGCATTGTGAAGCCGCCAAGAAGAATCAAGCCTCCAGTCAGCGGACCTGCCAGTAGCCCACCTGGCTGGGTCACGCTAGAGTAGCTGAGAGTTAAAGAAGTGTGTGTTAGTTGAGTAGGTCGGTGGTCACCACCCTATGTGTAATGTACAGTGTTATAATACTTACTGTTCTAATAAATGAGTGTTGCCTCCCAAGAAGTGTGTGCGCCTAAATTGAACCCACTACACATACATTTACATTGGATGAGCATCAATAGTTGTGACCTTGGGCCAGATTGAGGGGTCCACCAGATGTAGGTCCATTTATGCTGGGAGATGTCTTGCCCCAGAAGCCTATTCCAGAGCTTCCTAGTAACGGATCTTCCAGTGCCCCTGGTGGTAGAAGGTGAGGGAAGATCTAGGGGTTTGCTGGGTGCTTTTCGTGATGGTATTCCTAATTTGCAGATATCTAAAGAAATGTGTTTGGGGGATACTGTATCTTACCTGCAGCTGGTCAAAGGGCAAGAAATGTCCCTCTTAAAGTCAGGTCACAGAGAGTTTCCAGCCTGCTTCTCTCCAGCTAAACTACCTTATCTCTTTGCTCCCCATTTTCAATGAGAGGTTGCCCCAAAGTGGGATACCTTCTACGAATGGGCACTGGGAGGAGGGGATGCTTCTACCTCTGCATATTCCCGGCGCCGAGGAAACTGTCCGCATCTGTGACCTGAGGCCCCGAGGCCTATCTTTAGCTGAGGAAAGGAAAAGCCAGTGAGGGGACCACAGGCTCATAGACTCCTCCTCTCACCATTTGCCAACACCTCCGTCTATAGCAGTGGTTCTTAACCTAGGGTGCACGCACCTCCTGGGGGTGCGAGACATGCCATATTTGTTTCGCAGGTAAATAATCGAAAACACAAATTAAGGATGGGCAGGAAAGTACAACTACTTTCTTTCATCAAACCTATGTATTTATTAACAATATACATGTTTTATTTATTGAAAACCAAAGGGGTGCAGACTGCATTGAAGGTTAAGAACCGCTGCTTTATAAGGTTAAATCAATATTCTGGAAGGTAACTCCCTTATGGATATTTGAATATGCCCGGGAGAGTCAACTCTCTATCCATGCGGGTTTATAGTTCCAGATGAAGGATGAGAATTGGGAATGAAGTACTCTAAAAAAAAGCTTTGGGATCCGAGAAAGAAACATTCCTAAATAATATAATAGTTTATGGAGGACCATCATCTTTATCAGATGGTCTATTTTGGAGGGATAGGGGAGTCTTTTTACCCACTCAACTAATAAGGTAGTGGTCTCTTGGAGCAAGAGAGGAAAGTTCGTCTGGAAGAGTGATGTTAAAGATGAAGGGATCATCATATCCAGGTACTTGATATGGGTTGGACACCATTTAAAGGCTAGCAATCCCTCCGGGGGTTTGAGAGATATGGGGGATAGGGGCATCAATTCCGAATTGGCCACATTTAACTTATATCCTAATGCTCCCCTGTATTCCCACACAAGGATCAATATAGCAGATATCGAGGTTGTCGGGTCCATGAATGTGATGAGAACATCGTTGGCATACAAGTCAATTTTTTTTTTAACCATTCCATACCTTACCCCTGAGATTTGTTGAGCACTCCGGACACATTCGGCAAATGGCTCCATGGCCAGAGTGAGCAGCAACGGGGAAAGAGGGCAACCTTGCCTCGTGCCCCTACTAAACACAACGTTTGGAGACGCTAGGCCATTCGTAACCACCGAGGCAAAAGGTTTCACGTAAAGGAGTCTACATTGTCAATAAATTGATGGGGGGGAATGCCAAATTTCTCGATCACCCAGAATAGGGTACCACCGTTGGCAAGATTGTAAACTACCTCGCCTGGTATAGAGTAAGTTGTGGTTCAAGCTCGACCGTGGCGCCTGTATGTTTAGAGCTTTAGGTTCTCCCCGTGGTTATGTAGATTTTTCTCTAGGTCCTCCAGTTGTTCCCTCCACATTTATAAACATGCGTTTAGAGTAGTTGGCTGCTCTAAATGTTCAGGTGATAATCCACTTCGTTGAGTTATTATTTGTGGACAGTTCGTTTCTTTTTTTTTAAACAGCTATATAGCTCAGCGGGCCTTACTTGGTAAAATACAGAGTTTAGCTTTTAGTTTAGTTTAGGAATACCCATTCCATCCTGTCGAACACTTTTTCCTCATCTAGAGTAAGTGCATAGGCAGCCAAGCTGTCATTCGTAACTAACTCCACCGCATTAACCAAAGTCTTCATGGTTGTCTGCCGAGTCCCTGTTTTTAACTAATCCTGTCTGTGCTTCTCCAATAATTGAGAAACGCATCCACACTACTTGCAAGTATCTTGGCCAGGAGTTTGCGATCTGCCTTCAAAGGGGAGATAGTTACTTAGGCTTTTGGTAGGGGTACCCGGTTTATAGAATCCGGGAGAGAACCGGTCACTACCCCATCTTTAACGAAAATACCAACCAATTATTGGAACGTAGATGCTAATGTTTGGGAGCCACCTATGTGCCAGGTATTGCCTGGTAGAATTAAATCGGCCACTTAGTTCCTGAGTACCTCCCATAGCCTCAGAATTGCCGCCTTATTTCTATTAAAAACTATTTTTTTTTTCAAAACCTTGCTTGTTAAAAAGTATTTCCCCAATACTGTTTCACGTTTCTGGAGTACCCTTGCTGCTCATCTATAGCTTGGTTCTCAACCTTCTCTCCTGTTTATGTCCCTATTAGACCAAAATGAAGGGCTTACTTGCAACTGTACCTAACTTTTTTTACGTAACCTCTTCGCTCATTATATTTGCATTGTGTTTTCTTAAATTTGCGTGTGTTTAATTTATGACCGTTAAATAGTTTGCTGCTGCGCTAACGTAGGAGCACGGATCTCCCTTGTAGCCAGGAAACTGGGACCATCCGTGGAATGAATCAAGTAAACTCAAGAGCCAACCATCCTACTAGGTTAAACATTAATTTTGTAGCACTGGCTGCACAACTACCCGTGTTTGGGACGTGTTTGGGACCTCCCTCCTCTAACCTCCAATTTCGGCTCAATCTTGATCAAATGTGAGACAGTGTAGTGAGCGACTGAACAATGTAGCATTCATGAGTCGTTTATCAGCTATTTCACAGGCTGCCAGTTCCATATCAACCTCTGGGATTCGCCAAGCGCAGTGGTTCTCAGAGAGCGTCGCTTGGAGCGCCAGCGGTCTGCGACGGTCTTCCAGGTGGTCCGCGGGGATGTGATGCACATTGATCTGGAAATAATGACAATGTTTTTTAAACCTTTTGTTTCGGACGCGTATTCATATTTAATCGAATTTTAAATGTCGGTTTACTCTCCAACACACCTGTGTGCTGAAATATTAACTATTTGGCACGTTTTGTTTCCGTGACAAACCTCACTAATTGGTTGTCAGTTGTGGCGGGTTTAACGACACATTTATGTTTACGAGATCTAACCCCAAAAAAAAAAGCTTTTGTAGATGTTATCTATTTCGCCCGGTATACAGGAGGTCGTGGGTTCGATCCCGAAATATAATAATTATTTTATTTATATGATTATTTCTATTAGTTTTATTATTTATTTTTACCTACGTGACTTTACCGAAAAAACGTGGATTTAAGTTCAACTTGGGGGGAAAACCGCTCGATCCTCTGGGGGGCGGAGGAGGAGGGGGGTGGGAGTGGGATGGGTCCTCATTATAGCACGGCCGGATGACGGGCAGCGCGCGAGAGTTTGCCGGTGTTGTCGGTGGGAACGAGGCGCGCGTGTTCTCAGCTCTCGCCTATTCGGTGAGTTGCGACGCGTTGGGTGTTCCTACAACGCATCTTGTTTTTTAGATTAATTTGAGTAATGCACGCAGGATGGTGGTGATTTTGATGAAGATGGTGCGCCGTGTTAGGGGTTTGTATGGTCAACTTTAACGTCAGGGGCTCGCACGCTGATATTAAGCGGCATGTTGTGTGGAATAGTGTTACATTAACACCAAAAAAACATCGATTATTTCAACTATAAGAACAATTATTCATGATTGAAGCCTATCCTAGTGCATAGTTTATAGAATAACGCGCGTTGACGTACAGTTCCGTATGATCGTAACAACGTGCTCGCCACGTGCTTACCATGCACTGTACCGCACTGTACAAATATGACTGTGTTCTATAATTTAACATCATGTCTAGTTGTCTCGCTACTGTGTATATTTGTGTGTGTGTTGACTGAAACACTCGTGGTAGGACGTATTGCGAAGGGCAGCGTTGTGTAATGTTTATTCGCTGCGGCCTACTCGAAGCACCACGGGCTGCTGGTCAGCGGACGATCAACGTGTCTGCTCCTGTTTTAAGGTTTTTATATTTTACTTAGTACTTTTAAGCGCGTTTCTGAGGAAAAGTAGCATTGTTGTCGCGACGTATTTAATTTATGTTAGCGCCAAAGTTGTATATTGGCCTGCACCCAAGGCCGCGTTGACCAGAGTGGTGAAGTATGGTCGCAGTAGGGGTAGGGAGGCCTTCATCCAGCAGTGGCTTGACACAGATGCTCTGAAAATATATAAATATAGCAATTAACATCTAATTCCATTCGGAATATAACTCGTGTAGAGTACTGAACTATAGAGTTCGCTACTGCAGTATGTACGTATACTGTAGTGCGTTATACTGTGTAGTGTTGTGCGTTAAAAAGTATGCACGATATATACACTAGTTATTTGTAATAGTGATATTAACATGTATTACTGGTTTTAAAGTACCAACTTAATGGAAGTTACGTCGATTTTTTAAGTGCCGTACATAAAGCAATAATGAAATGTCATACGTTAGTGAGAGTGAGGCAATTTAGTAACTACGTTCGATTGCAAACAAGACAATTATGGCTATGATTCTCGTAAACACGAGTGTTGTTTTATTTTTTTATGTTTTATTTTTTAATGTTTTATTATCAAAAATGTTGGCGCCTTCGTTCCGTGTTTCCCCAAGAGGATTTTGCCGCCAAAGTGCGGTTTTGGGTTTCCGCTTATTATTTTATTATTTAAAAACTTTACGTGCCCTTGACACCTCAATTGAGTACCATGGCGCGGTGTTTAAAGATCATCGCCACTGGGGAGACAAAGGCGGCCGGGCGTGGGGTTGCCCCCCACCCCTCGTGTCCCGTGCCGGCCCTTCATAGGTGCTCGCTAACAGCACTTGCCCCAACAGTCTGTTGAGGCTACACGGGGCATCTTTGTCTCTATGCATGTCATTACATGTTTCACGTGTGTCGCTTGACACCCATGCAAAGGGCATGTTCCGCCCAAAAGGACCTTTTCCAGGTGAAATATTTTAATTACGAAATAAATAAATAAAACATTCCACCAGCACTAGGGAGAAACCATCCACGTGCACGGGATAATAATGTTAACGTATAAACAATAGAGTAAAAACCACACCTTATCCTGGTAGAAACCACCTGGTTCCACCAGCCCACAGGGGATTATTGTGTCCGTCCGTCGTGCATCAAAAATAGGATGGGCTGGGAGGGTGGGGAGGGGCTGGGTGGGGAGGGGAGGGTGGGAGGGGAGGGGCTGGGTGGGGAGGGGAGGGTGGGGCTGGGTGGGGAGGAGGGGTGGGGCTGGGTGGGGAGGGGCTGGTCACCCCGTGGTGCCCTTATAAAACTCAACGTTTAACCTACTCACACCGGCTTGTGCCCGCCCTCACAGTCGGCCATATATGCGGAATACACCACGCCGCCGTTGACCCTGGCCATTGACCTGAGCAACCCAACGTTCCTCCCAGCTCCCTCCGCAGGAATGTGTTAATGTCACCAACCTCATGTAGACTTTATGAGAGTTTTCAGCACGGCTGTGTGAGGCGCGTAGCTTTCACAGTCTTCGTTCCGCTGTTGGGAAGAAAGTTTGGAGGAGTTAGCCGTAAATCTGTTGTGGTATCAATACGTGGGATCGCCAAACATTACTACCGCTCATACGGCGCATTGGGATACCTTGGATGATATATTAGCCTTACAAATTTCAAAATTATTATTGTTGTGTACAATGCTCTCCTCTACGAGGGAATTGCGGTTACGGTCATGCCTCGTGGGGACGGCAACTCAATAGATGGAGTTTTGCAAAAATGGAACTTAAAAATTGGGGAATTGATATATGTTCTGTTAAAATCACATTTACGGCGTTATGAATCTCTAAACTATTAATTTTTCAGGGGGGAAATAAGACGAGACGTTGTCTGTCATTTGTCCTCACGTGCAATTCATAGCGGTCACTGCATTTTGATAAGTACTGTACAGTCTTTTTTTGTTACTTATTTTCAGTTTTTTCAATATATATAAGGGAAATTTGTGATTATGTGTGTCTGTTCAAAATGTTTAGCGTACTTCCCGACATGCAACAAACTTGAAATTTGCCACGTGGGTACTTACCAGACTGTACACCATGCAACAATTAAAAAAAATTAATCCGTAAAAACAAAGTTTTTCACTATAAATCCTTTATATGCGTGGCGGCTAGAGTCCTCTCGTCCTCTGGCTTGAGATGGCTGCCACCTATGGGTCAGATGATTGTCTGCCAGTATTAAGCAATTGGTAATTAAATATTTAATTTGTTTTCCCTAAACAGTGTAAAATTTTGGAAAAAAATTTTCACGAACATTAATTGTCTCGCACAACGAGTTTGTGTGCAAAATGTCAGCTCGATTGGATCACGGGAAGTGGGTTTAAAAACGACCAAAAGATTTGCACGGTCGTAAGCAAGCAAGCAAGTGAACTTAATATAAAGGATTTAAAAATAGACTTTTATATTTTTTGGGGGGTGGGGCGCATTAATGGATATATTTTGCATGGCAAGTGAGCTGTGACGTCACATCTGTCACGTCACCCGCATGCGGCAGCGTCACGCAGTGTGCCTGCCGACGTCACGCATCCCCAACCCTCCGCGTAGGCCGTGTATCCCGCACAAATGCGCGGCATAGCCGTCTCGATTTTCTAAGTCAACGCGACTAATTTCAGCTCGCTCTTAAATATAAAGCAGAAAATACATCTTTGTGTGAAGCAGCAAAAACTCTCGAACGCTGAGCTCTGACGTCATGCAATTTGCACAGCTGACGCTGTCTGGAATTTCTAAGGGAACTATTTTCAGCTCGCCACGTCATTCCCTTCCGAGTTGCCTAAATCGACCTTACGTATAAGTGGGTTAAGGTTTAATTTTCTTGAGTGAAAAACATCCGATTTAGTTAAATTGATTTGTTTCGGATTTTTTCTTTCTTGCAAGCATCACATTTTTCAGGGTTTTCTAGTGAAATATAAGGGAATATGACATTAATCCAAGACAAGAATCCAAGTCCCGGGCGAAGCCGGGTAGTAAAGCTAGTTTTATCATAAAATTGTCGATTTTCCATTAAATATGTACTTTAAAAAGGTTTGCTGTATTCTTATATGTTATTCTATTAACGTATTTTCCCGCATATAACCCGCGGGGTATACCACTTTTTACAAACAAAACAAGACCCTGCGGGGTATATGGAGGTGCGGGCTATCCCAAAAATATTTTACACGTGTGACTCGTTTAATTTTTTCATGGTAGGACTATCCACTATGCAAAACTTACCTTTGACTAAAGCACTGCTGAATAAACCACTCACTAAAATTGCACATGTTATCACGTTTTAAATGATTCGAATTGTTTGTACAATTAAACGACAATGTTTGAAGTGGGACAATGTTTGAAGTGGGCGCACTTTGTTTACCGGCGACGGGAGAGCTGGGGGGAGAGAGAGGTGAGGGATTGGGGGCGAGGCAACCGGCGTTACCGTAGTGCCGCTATTGTCAGCGCAGTGCGCATTCTACAAGTGCTAAAACTGTACTTATCTACCAATTATGTGTTACTTATTGGATATTTACTTTTGTTACTTATTTACTGTTTTAAGTTCACTCGTTTCCGGTTATTTTTTCTTTGTGCACGTTATGATTTTAATGTTAACAATTGATAGTGGAATGTATTACAAACATAAACTTCGTATTAATATGATGGAATTAAGCTGCGGTAACGACGTCAAAGATATGAATGCATGCGGGGTATATGGAGGTGCGGGCTATCTGAAATTTGTTTTACACAAAACGCTATTTTTGCGGGGTATATGCGTCTGCGGGTTATACGCGTATGCGGGCTATATGCGGGAAATGATGGTACACCTTGTGGCCAATTCTTTTCCTGGTGGAATGCATCTCTAATTTTATAATGGAAGTCAATGGAAATTGGATTCAATACATGTGATTTTGCTTTATGGACAACTTTTCAGGAATGTATCTTTTCCGTATATTGAGGGATGCCCATACTTATGTAAACCGTGCATCGTGGTCATCCATCCAAGCACCTCCAATGAGCACGGTTGGCTACGTACGGTGCTAAAGAGATTCAACATACATACAAGCACTTTCCAGGCTAAAGCCTGCTTGATTTCCAAGGTCTGGGTGATAAAGTATGGTAAAATAACCCCTGCAACCCACAACGGCGTGTGGAGGCCCTCATCCAGCAGTGGATTAATAAAGGGTTCTACCAACACGATGTTAGCCATATGAACCTTATGGCGGGACTTCGGGGTCCTGAATAAACGTAAGTCAAAATCGTAATTAATTTTATTTTTGGCAACTCCTTCCCACAGCACACATAAACGCTGCGACCCACCTGGCGCGGATCATTCTGTTGTCATTTCGTCCAAGCGAAGCGAGGATGAATGCGTAGAAGAAACAAAACTTTGAAACTTTGATTAGCGCATTGTGTAGAGCTCGTCGAGAGGAATAGATTGCCGTATCGTTCGCTTTCAACAGACAAAATGACGTCGCAACGCAGTTTATGCGAGAGCCGGGGGCTTATGGGACCCCGGAGTCCCCACCATGAGGTTCATATTATCGTAACCGCCATTACTTTCTTGCTGGGTGGACGCCAGGAGTGACAGCCACAGATGCTGTGTGCCCATGGGTTCATGCCTGGACAGCTGGTACTTGTTCATAAAGGATCATGTTGTCGTTGCAGAAACCTAAATTCGATTCCTGGCCACAGCTGACATCTGTGGGTGTGATATCTAAACCAGTCCACTGCCCCCACCACCAGCGCTAACCAGCGTGGTAAACTATGGTAACACAACTGTCATGACTGGCATGTTGTAGGGGGAGTTCTTAATCCAGCATTGATTTGACAAAGGGCCGTAATTTATCGGTATTTCATTTAAGTACGAGATGCATGTGCAGGAATACCACAGTTTGGTTTTTTCGGTAAAGTCACGTAGGTAAAAAATTAAATAAATTAAAATGAAAACAACTAAATAAAATCAGGACGTTTCGGAAGCAACACAAGCCTCCGTCTTCAGGTGGAACTGCCACAGCAAAATTACTGTAGTGTGGCGGTTCCACCTGAAGACTGAGGCTTGCGTTGCTTCCGAAACGTCGTGATTTAATTTAGTTGTTTTCATTTATTTTATTTTATTTTTTACCTATGTGACTTTACCGAAAAAAACAAGTATGGATCCTTGCAGTCACGAAAACTTCAAATCTAGAATTAGGCATACCACAGTTTACGCCCGGGATGCGTTCCTGAAAACCAGAACGTAAAATCGAAAGTACTTCAATCAAAGCATTTTTGGTGGATCAAAACGTAGTAGAGTACCTAAACAGAGGATGCTCAGTCACCCATTGCGCATTCATACTGTACAACCATGTGAAAAGTAAGTGTATTTTATTGATATATTAAGATACGTTACCTTGTCTGTTATATTATATGTATTCGTATATCGTTTTAAAAATAGTTTACACTTGTATAAACATAGTGGCCATAAATACGGTATGTGGGGGGGGGGAAATTGCTTATGTGGACACATGAAAGAGACGCCTCTACTTTAGGAACGCTCACGCTTGGGCACCATCTGGCACATGAACGTGTCCGTGAATTCGTGCGCCAGATTTTTGAGTCTCTCCAAGACTCAAAATGTTAAGTCTTAATGGTAAAGTTCGTAAATCTGGAGTACTTTATCGCGAGGTACCACAGTACGTAAAACGGAATTGGGTATCATTGAGTTGAGTACATTATGGCGAAATAACGTAAAATGGGAGGGCGAAAATTGGGATATTACTATCCAGCTATGTATATATGCATATGCTATATATGGTATACTCGTGGGCGACCCATTGGGGTTCAACAGTCATAAATCAGTAATTGCCAAAATGGATTTCCATTCAAATGTGTACATAACCTGATTCATCTTGTCCTCGTAGCCCTGGGGCACGGAGGGAAAATTCCACAGCCCTGTGAATACATATGGTCAGTAACGCTGCCTTTAAAAGGAAAAAAAATATATATATTAGGTGACATATCAGGCAATGGTCCTTCTTCAAGGCAAAGAGGTTAAAGAAATAGAGGGGATAATTCATCATTATTTGGTGATACTTGCCTTGGCAGTGGTGCATACCAGAACTAATGGAGCATCGAACAAATAATAGCAACCATGCCCTTGGATATCATGGCAAATTATCTCAGCCATGGTTGCCTTAGCGAGTCTTCAAATGAGTCCCGTTATGAGCCTGCAGCACTTTGTGGGAAGTCAATAGTGGTTGACCAATGAATAGACTGGTAATTTCCATGGGAATGTGTAATTTCAACCCACGGGCCTTGATCCTCCAGCCACGAACAGTGCCCTTCACTTGGTTGGACATAGGGAATTGGACCTTTGATCAATACCCCATAGTTTTCTCTCAACACCCCGTGATAGAGAAACCTGAATATAATTTTTAAAATGAATATGAATAACATACTCCCAGCCACAGAGGTTCGTTCGTTTCTCAATCCGCTTGTCCTGGGTGGGGGTCACAGCAGCAGAAAATTCCTTAACCAAATTGCCCTCGTGTGCCTCGTAAAACTGAGTGGGGACCGTGCACAACCAGCGACATCTCACCACCTTTCCAGCGTTGCATTGATCGTGGCAGATCTTGAAGTTGACTCCAGGCAGTTAATGTTGCACCATCTGCCATGAAAAGGCACCACAGATTAAACCTTTTGTTGCAGCAATGGGACAATGAGTTGTGCGATTGGGTCTTGGGCCATTGTGGCACATGCCCACACCATCTGTTCATTGCGTAGGCCCCAGGCCAATCGGGCACAACATAAAAGGAAAGAGACAATCGGCCAGATGACCCTGACCAGCCAAAAAGGCCTCAGGTCCAGAAAACAGAAGGAACTAGTAGTCTCGGTTACCGTGACATTCATAATGCTGAATGTTTACAATATTCAGTTTGCTTATTCCTAATGAGAGACATATTTGGGTGGGGGGGAATGCAAGCTTGTTATTTTTTGTGATGGCCCCCTCTGTGTGAAAGGGCTTTTCATATGAATTTGATTTATTTCTCATTCCAGAACGGAGAGATTAACAACCAACCACCCACACACCCCCTATTTGCAGCCAAAGCGAGTGTTTGGATTTGGTGAGGCTTGCCTTGAAGTCCAGCGACTTGGAGGGTGGGTTCGTTGTGGACCGTGTACGTAAATTGCAATTGTGTATTTGGAATGTCCACTTGCAGAGACTTGAAAGGTCCTTAGGAGGCAGTACCTCAAATAGCTATCTATATATATAAAATCGTTCATGTCTGTCTGTCTGTGTGTGTGTGTGTGTGGACTTTGGCCCATACGCACTTTCATTGGACGGCGGTTGCCCCTGGCAACGGCTAGCCACGCCTTCGCCGCTTTCATTGGACCTGGCAACGGCTAGCCACGCCTTCGCCAAGGGCTGCAGTTTCATTGGACGGCGGTTGCCCCTGCCAACGGCTAGCCACGCCTTCGCCACTTTCATAAGCTCCGTATTTAATTAAATGATAGCCATTACACAGTATTGTTGGAGCGCTAGGGGGGGGGGAAGGAACGCCACCCGTACCCTGCCTCTTCCAAGCCGACAATTTTAGGCGAGGCCGCAGGCTTTGCACGCTACTAGGCCTCGACACCCACCACGCCACTCTGAGGTAAATTCATCAAAGTTTTTCCTACTCTTCACTACACCCCCACCACAATGTGTGCTATTAATATTACTTTTAAACCCAACGCGCCAACAATCGATTACTTTAATGTTCACTGTACAAATACTCATTAAGCTGGGTGAGCGTACTGCCAGTCTATCATGTACACTGTAGCCTGCTTATTAAGCTCGGTGAGCGTACTGCCACTCTATCATGTACACTCTAGCCTGCTTATGAAGCTGAGTGCGTGTACTGGCAGTCTATAATGTGGACTCTTGCCTGGTTATTATAATCGATTCTTTATATGTTCTTTGTACAAACAGTCATTAAGCTGCTTGAGCGACCCCAGTTCGATTCCAACTCACGCCCACCACCGCTGACGATTATTTGAAACGGACCTGGCCCTCCCCTAGGTCCACTCAGCCTCAAAAGCGTAACTGCTGTCGTGTGTGAACATCGTCACTGGGGAGACAAAGGCGGCGGGGCATCGTGGATCCAAGTCCCGGGCGAAGCCGGGTCATGTGTATGTGTGTTTGTGTTTATGTGTATGTCTGTGTGTCTCTATGTATGTGTGTATGTATGTGTATGTATGTGTTTGTGTGTATGTGTGTGTGTATGTATGTGGGTTTTTTTATGTCTTTATGTGTATGTCTGCGTGTCTCTATGTATGTGTGTATGTACGTGTGTGTATGTATGTGTGTGTCTATGTATGTGTGTGTCTATGTATGTGTGTGTCTATGTATGTGTGTGTCTATGTGTGTGTGTGTATGTGTGTGTGTGTATGTGTGTTATATGTCTGTCTGTGTCTGCATGTATGTGTGTGTGTATTGTGTATGTGTTTGTGTGCATGTATGTGTGTGTTGTGTATGTGTATGTCTGTGTGTATGTGTTGTGTATGTGTGTATGTATGTGTGTATGTGTTTGTGTGTGTTTGTGTGTTTACGCTCGCATTACACAAATGTATAATGCGGGTCTAAGGCGTTCCTTACACAGCATTGCCGCTTTATTATTTCAGTCGTTTACTGCCGTATGCACCCTGAAAGTCGTGTGTGTCTGCAGCAAGCGCGTGTATGTGTACCTATGGACGCGCGCGCGTGTGTTGTGTAGGGGGAACGGTAGTGTAGTGCTTAGCGTGCTGCCTGTGTCTGTGTGTGTGTGTGCGTGTGTGGTGTGTGGGGAGCGGTAGTGTAGTGGTTAGCGTGCTGTCTGTGTGTGTGTTTCTGTCTGTGTGTGTCTGCGTGTGTCTGTGTGTGTGTCTGTGTGTGTGTCTGTGCGTGTGTGGTGTGTGAGGAGCGGTGGGTGTAGTGCTTAACGCTACGCTGCGCTACCAACCCGGCAAACCCAGTTCGATTCCCGCTCACGGCCACCACCGGTGACGATTATTTGAACCTCCCCTAGGTCGACTCTGCCTCAAACGAGTAACTTAACTACTGTAGCGTATTAACATCGCCACTGGGGAGACAAAGGCGGCCGGCCGTGGTAGATACAAGTCCCGGGCGAAGCCGGGTAGTACAGCTAGTGTCATCTGTATTTGGGGTTTGCATGTTTCTCCCCGTGGTCTTTGCTTATTTTTGTTAGTTTTCTTTAAAAAAAGAATATTTCCTCACATGCACAAATATGCTCAATTGTATTTGTTAAACATCCCAATTAATTACCATCTTGATTAACAGTTTTTAGACTTGGTGGGGCTGGATAAATAAATGACATTAATATTTTAGTTTTTTGGGATACTTTCTTTACCCATTGCTCAGTGCCAGTTTTTGATGATTTGCTATGAAAAAGGGCAATTGCCTGGATTGTAACCTATTATGTTTTTTTCCCTTTTTAAAGTTGTGTTATAGACTAATGTGTTTAAAAAATTTGCTTCCAATAAGAACTGTAGGGATGGGGCCAAATAATGGTATCAAAACAGCTGATATTTTGGTGTTGCTATGCTAGAGCAATGAAAAGGTCTTGACATCAAATCCTGTTTTATGGGCTGGTTAAAATAAGTGCTGTTTTGCGTAAAGTTTTTTTGGTTCTTTGGAGACGCCTCGCATGGCAATGTCGTATTTACACGACTGACGCAGGACTGTCAAAATAGATGTGCACTGCTCATCATTCAGTTGATCATCCAGAATTATGGATATGTTTTGCATAATTTCATTTCATAAAAATGTATACTTGTGGCTGCACGCTTTCAACTTCAGAATAAATTACTTGATATTTACAGATAATGGTTTCATTGTTACTGAATGTCAGAAGGTCCAACAATATAGGGACAACAGGCCTCTCGCTCATCTGAACTGTTTATAAAATATAGCTAGCAAACCCGCACGTCCTTTCGATGTGTCCATTTGTCCCTCATTCCAGCCAACTATCCAGCGAGAATTTTTTTTTATAATACGCGTGTCCCCTCACATAACAAGCGTTCCTGAAAAGCAGCGTGTGAATGGAATCGCGCTGTATGAAGCCTATTTTCCCATATACATTTATAACGGGGGGGGGGGGGGGGAGTGAGTTGCCGAAGAAAAAAGTTTAGTGTTTCATTATTTATCCCTGGATTTACAAAATACGTATAAATGTAATAATTAAAGTATTAGTAACAGTACAAAAAAATTATTAGGGATTTAATAACAAACAAGATTAAAAGATTACAACTTAAAAAGATTACTTAATAAGGAATAACTTCCAGGGCGGCTGCTTCTACTCAGATCAAAGTGGCCACAGCAAGCCCACGCCACTGGGCACTGGCATGACACGGTGACGCCATCAGATTGAGACTCGAGTTAGTTAACCTGTGAACAAAAAAAGACTTTGTATTTTTATCAATGATAGGTTTTTTTTGTTGAGAAAAACGTAATTTGAAAAAATCATTCTTGAGCACGTAACTGTGATACGCACAAGGCACCTCCGATTAGCACGGTTGGCTACATATGATGTGAAAGAAGTTCAACACACGTGCATACAAGTATGTCCCTTAAAGATGAATCACGGAACTGCGAATTTGCGCTATGCGGGGGGCGGCGCCTGTATAGTACGATAGCGTATCCCACCTCGGTAAAGTCACATAGGTAGAAAAAATAATAGTTCACGATCGAAACGTCGTGATCTATTTTTTTTTTTACCTATGTGGCTTTACCGAAAGAACCAAAGAGTATGGATTCCTGCAGTCACGAAGTTTCAAATCAAGATCATATCCCACCTATTTGTGCGGGATCCACGGGCCGGGGTGTGACGTCAGCGTGACGCACGGACCCAGCTGGAGTCGGTAGGATGTGGCGATGTCATCCGGCAGATGTGCACGCTGTGCCTCCGCCCCACAAATACGAAGGAGACATCGCAGCGGTACATCTCCGCTACCCCAGACACGGTTATCTGGCTTGACCACCATCTGCATGTCCATCAGCCATACAAAAGAACAAGGAGACTGCACTTGACCACGCACCAGGCAGACAGGATTCCAGCCAAAAACATTTTTTCCAGCCACAAAATTTTCGTTTTCAGAACTTGCCGTCAACTCTGTTTAATGGCTTTGTGCACTCTTCAAATATTTGTTGCACTTTTGGTGCATTGGTTATTCATACATAAGTCTTGGAGTGTGTACTCGAAACAAGTTAAATTGCAGTTCATAAAGATGCAGTTCATACAATACGCATACAATGTTTGAGATACAATTAACATGATCATTTCGGACCGGTGTGTAAAATGAGCTCTAGGCATTGACGTGCGTAGATTAAAAATGCTTAATATTAATCAAAAGTGTTTTGAACACTTGCATTGACACGATTGTAAAAAAACGCAATGCACATACGTGTACTGGGTTGATGAGGGTCATTGTTAGTTGTTATTGCCAACTATCCTATTGCCCGTCCAAGGACGGGTGTATTGCAGTAAATCTGAAACTTGCAAGCGAAAAGCAGACCGCGACGTGATATGCATTGCATCAATTCGTATGCAATTGGTAAGGCCGTGGTGACAGACTTATTTTAATTTAAAAGTTATAATCCCTTGTTCATCATGACGTCATTTTTTGTTCTGTCTCCATAGCGTTACGGAGATCGCGTGACGTGAGGGTTCTGCCTTTGTAGTGAGGGTTGTCAGTTGACGCTGATGAGGGGGGAGGAGGCGCATCGCCCCCCCATGTGGAGTGACGTCATCTGCTAATTATTATTAATGTCAGGGGGGGTGTCCATTTGGAGGACGTCACCTGGTCATGAATATTAATGAGGGGGGCTGGTCGATGTGGAGTGACGTCACGAGCGTTGGTATGCTTTATTTACTAAGCTGTGTCATCTTGCTCTTCTTAGAGTGGCAAATGCTCAAAAGCCGAGTCAACCCTCACATGATATTCCTTATTTTTTCGTGAGCAGCACTATATGCTTCATTCCCCCTCCACCAAACGGTCATTCTGCTCGTAATGCCGTGCTGATTAACAATAAGTAGGGCAAATCATGCATCTGAATGAGTCCTATATAAACGTGTTCCAATACATGTTTAGGGCACTGCGGTGGCGAGATGTTAACTACCTCACCTGGGAGGTAGTGGGCTCGATCCTGACCCTGACGCCTGTATATTAGGGGTTTGCATGTTTCTCCCCGTGGTCGTATGGATTTTTCTCTGGGTCCTTCAGGTTTTTCCCCTCCACATTCAGAATCAACATGCTTATAGAGATTTTGACTTTTTACATTTCCACTTCATTGAGATATTATTTGTGGCCAGGTTTCTTCTGAAAAAGAGCTATATATCTCAGTAGGCTTTGCCTGGTAGGATGAGGATAATTTAGTTTTATTTGTATGTGTTTGGGTGATTTGTTTACCTTTCTTGTACTTTGCACTTGTATCAGATTTTTGTTTTGTTGTTGTAACGTTGTCACCCGCCCCACTGGACATCTGTGAAACACAGATTTGTAGCTTATCGGATTCCTACCAGTATAAATAAATATTCTGATTCTGATTTAATTTGCCAATACAATGATAAGGCCAGCTCATTGTGTGTGATATTATTGTCTTGGCCACCACGGCTTGTCTTTTGAGTTTGTCTTTTGAGCGCAGGTTTTAATCACCGAAGTTTTTGGTACTTTGGCCCTCGTAAAATACATTCTCCCTTCTAGGGTTGAGATATTACTGCGAGTCAGGCCACCGATGGTGGTGTGGTAAAACCTCTGGAAGGTGGGGAGAGCCTTTACAAATGTTGGATGCATATAATTAACAACTGTGGCTGTCGCCTGATCGGGCTGGTTGTAATTACCGTCAAAAGGTCGTACTCAAATTGTAAATGTTGTGGGTTTACTCTTCAACACACAAGCGGTGTGCTGAAGAACGAGTAACGAATTGGCATGTTTTGTTTACGTGACAAACCTTACTAATTGGCTGTGTCGGGTGGTGGCGGATTTAACGACACATTTACGCGATCTAATCCAAAAAACCTCTATTATGGTTAAAAGTTGGCATTTACGCTCGATTAATACCGAATACCCTTAATTAACGAAACACCAAATCTTCACCAGTGTAGTTGTGGAGAGAATAAATCACAATAAGTAAGCAGACGATGTCTCCTTAATATGTCTTGTGCAACCCATCTGCAAACGCCCTTCTATGTAGCAAGTTGCGCGCATGACCTTCTAAAAAGGCTGTTGGGCCTTTGTGTTGTATCAGAGATACTTTTATTTTTACACAACCACACTGTCCTTTTTCTTACTTCCTTTACTATCTCTCAGGGTTACTTTGACGATCTGTCGCAGACTCGGTTTTCTGATTTTTCAAGCATTTTCTATTCCTTATTTTCGAGCTTTCTTCTCCAGAAAACATTAAACACTTGTGGTCTCACTGAGGGTTTTTGTACTTATCTTGCGGTACAAACATTTTTTCTGTACACGATTGCATCGCAACATTGCGAGACATGTTACCAACTTGGGGGGGGAGATCTTCAACTCGCAGTGGATTGTTCACGGCTGTAGTTGATGATTATTTACCATGGACAGGGAAGTCGAATGGTTTTCTTGTAAAGCCGTACAATACGAATCCGCTACTGATGATTGGAGCATGTAAATTAGTATTTGACACGCAAGACCTTTTGTAATCATCGACGGCAATCAATCATCGCCCAATTGCACCCTGTATTAACTCTCAAAGCCTCGTCGCATCCTCCTGCCATGCTAATAATACGACCTAGGCATTTAAATTTCACCGGTGATAGTTGTTTTCTCACGTCCCCTGGCTGATGGTTTCCCTCATACTCCTGGCTGCTCAGTATAACTTGGGACTTACTGATGTTCACCTTCATGTCGCCTCTGGCAAGGTGCTCTTGCCCTCCTAACCAACCTCGCCTAGCTTCGCCAGTGAATCCGCCGTGATGACGAGATCATCAGCAAACAGTCGTTCCCCACGGCGGTCCTGTTCTCGTCTCTTCGCGTAACAACGTACGTCAAACACTACTGCGGGCGGCAGTACACAACTTACGAGCGGGTTACGTTCCAGACCCGTCCCTAAGTCCATTTGTTCGTTATCTTGGTAGTCAATATTTAACTGGACTGTACATACGGTCAGTGTTATAAAATGTGTTATGGTTCAAGAAAAAAGGGAAGCATTGTTAAACTTGAAAATACTGTTGTGTGCATAACGCGAGAAGCTGGGACTCATTACATCTCGCGGAGGATCGCTCCGCCACACAAAATAGTTCCGCAGTTTGGTTCGTGGGTACGACCGAACGTTCGAAAGTCGGACTTAAAAATAATGACATCTCTTGGCGGTTCGTTCGTAAGTGCGGAATGTTCTTAAGTTGGACGTTCGTATCTTGAGGGCTGCCTGTATAATAAATTGTATGGGGCTGAGTGTTTCCCTGTGGTGTAATTCACTATGATTGGGAATTTTTGTTGTTGCTTCTGTGTCCTGCCTGAGTTTCTAGCGCAGTGAAATGTTTCAATCAGGTTTCCCTGAGACCCCAAAGTTATTTTATGTATTTACTATTACTTTAGTAGGTAAGGCCCACTGAGCGATACAGCTCTTTCAGAAGCGACCTGGCCACAAATGATAGCCCAAGAAAGTGGCCTATGTGGAAATATATAGCAGCCAAATACTCTAAACGCATGTTTCTAAATGTGGAGGAGAAAACCCGGAGGAGCCGGAGAACAATCCACACGACCATGGGGAGAACATGCAAACTTCAAATATACAGCAGGCGCCAGGGTCGGGATCAAACCCACGGCCTCCTGTATACCAGGCGAGGTAGTAAACATCTCGCCCTAGTTATTTAGATACCTATTGCAAATGAGACTATTTTGGTCTCTTTGAGTTCTCTCACCTGTTAAAATAAAATGAACTCGAACTAAATCACACCCTTATTCACTCGATCACTCGCTCGTGCTTGCAAATGAGGCGATATGGGACATTTGAGTTCTCACTTGGTTGAACAAAATTAACTTAACCACTCTGGCTAACCCCAAGTTCCAATTTACTCGAGTCCGGGTTTGGCTATACCAGGGGTCGGCAACCTACGGCTCCGGAGCCGCATGCGGCTCTTTACGGGCTGCTTCTTGACGATATGTACGTATGTACAGTATGTACTTAGATGCATTGCGGCTCTTGAAATACTGAATTTTGTACCGAATTGGAAAGAAATGGCTCTTCTTGTTATTTTGGTTGCCGACCCCTGGGCTATAATGTAGCTGTTGTATTGCTCTTGCACAAGTGAAGGCCCAATGCTTCAGCACGTGCACATATTCTTTGACGCACGAGAAGTGAGACCTTTTAGGTTTATTGTTTAATATTTTTATTGAGGGCAGGCTTCCTGGCTTTACTGCAGTCTAACTTTTAAGTGTTACTGTCGGTGGTTAAATGTTATATTTTTGTTGTTCCTGCTGTGCTCGGGCACCACAGATCTCGCATTGTAAAATAGCTGAAAAACTGGCATCCGTGTGACAAATCAAAGAAACTCAAACGCAATGCAGGCACAGGTTACTAGCTCTGTGCAATGATCCTTTTATCAGAATAATGACGAAGGGCTAAAGGTCTGAGCACGGTTGGGGTTTTATCTTTTACAATTAGGTCTGTTTAAAGTAGGAAAATATATTAAAGTTAGTCACTTCATATGAGTACACAGTCCATGTATACATTATTCAATACAGTAATGCTTCGAAATTCGTATATTTGATAAACAAAGTTTTGGTATAATACTTTCATCGATCTACAGGACTATAAAAATAGGAATAAAACTAATTCTTCACTCTTGATTTGAAGCTTCGTGACTGCAGGAATCCATACTCTTTGGTTCTTTCGGTAAGTCACATAGGTAGAAAATAAAATAAATCACGACGTTTCGGGCGCAACACAAGCAGACTAAAATCTAATATTATTTTCAATATAAATTGTCTTTGTTTACAATATGAATGGTTAT